TTCACCAACAAAAATAGCTATCAAAATATATCAGGGAGAAATTAATAAATACTAATCTGAATTATGACTAACCAACCAGCTGACAAGTGAACTCAGCTACTACCATTTTAGTCACTACAGGCAAATAAATGCAGCATCTTAAATTTAAATTCTACTTGAGTACTAAACTTGTCAATAATTTTCTAAAATGGCTAATAAAGGAAAAAAATGAAATGACTCCTACAAAACAAATTTCAATAGCTAGATATTGGAGCAGAAACACATGAGTCATGCGAGGGTGCCATATCCATATAGACATTGATTCTACTCTTGGAATCTCTTAATATATTTCTTTTCCATTTAAAACAACCTGACTCTAGACAGATGTACTAAAGCCAAACTGGCAACAAAACTACATCTTATGAGTTGCTTGTGCATACATATTATCAGGGTATTAATTTCTGGTTACTCTGTTGGACTTAGTTTGGAGTAAGCAATTATTTTAATATTTTATTTCAGATCTTGAAATTTCATAAGATATTAAATTAACCACCAATAAATTTATAAATCCTCTATTTCATGTGTTAGAATTATAACAATATAATTGCAACTTTACCAAACACACACACACACACACACACAGCATTTTTTAAATTTTATTTTTGCATTTACAGCTAAGAAACACTGTAAATGTGTAATAAAAACAAAAAAAAATTGAAGTTTTTGTGTTTAAAAAGCTCTTTTAAAAGAATTTAAAAATAGAACATTCTTATATAGGTAAGAAAAAAATTGCCTTTTGTTTTAAGATTTTTTAAAAACTTTACCCATTATCCAATGGCAATAAATGTTCAATTCAGTCAATATTTCTTCATTTATGTGCCATGTCTCTTCAAAACGTTGGAAATCATGGCTTTCCACAACTTCCTGGCCTTTGTAGCTCTTAGTAAATTTTATCTTTTTGTTATCTTTCCTAAACCCTATTCTGTCATCCATTTACACAAGGTTGTGCTGTTTTCCTCTGTACCTCTTGCCTTCACTATGTCCTGGGAGTATCAAATTTTCCAAACCCTCTTTCCTTATTATCTACCCTAGAAATTTCAACTTCTGACGTAAAGGTGTCCTTTTTGTTTTCATTTCTCTAAAACTTTGTTGCTGCTCTTATGTTATCATACACTTTTTTCTAGGAACCAAAAGTATTTGTAAAAGTAAAATATGCATGTGCATAATCCTTGTAGATGTTAATATATCAAAGGATGGTGTTCAAGTTCCACTTCTTTCACTGTAATATATCAATGTAAATAACTGCCTGTCTATTTCTATGATAGATATTTTATGTTATTTTCTGTTTTTGCATCTGACTGGATTAACAGGAAACAGAATGTGGCATAGCCTGAATATTTTACTAGGTTAATCTCATCATTAGGAAAAAAGACATCTGTCATTGGAAACTAAAGGATATCATTGTGTGTGTTTGTTAAACATTGACAGATTGCTGACTAGACTCAATTTGATTAGCTATCTTCCAACTGACGATACATTTTTGACACACTTGACTGAATCCATTCAGCCAGGTAAATAACTAGTTTGTACATAGTGACACCATAACTAGTAATTATACTAGGAAGCCTTTGCTTGCTCATAAGAAAGCTTGTTTTGTTTGTAAATTCAGTTTTCTATTTATACTAGCTGATTGTCTTTTCTTCACTTGGTAAGTTTTATTTTAACTACAAATTATGATGATTTTTGTTCTCCTTTGTCAGAAAAGTAAAATTCGAAATAGGTTTCGGGGTGTAGTTTTCGAACAGTGATCAAGTTTTTCACACTAACCTTGGCAGCCAGTCAGGAATACACACAAATCAATAAGATAGAATCACAAAGTAAAGCTGCAAATAAGGAACAGTTTCATTATTTTAAGTATGCTGCAACATTTGTTTTTTAACAAAAGTAATCTCTTAATTTTTATAGTAATTAAAATTGCTTATTTACATTGTCATTAATAGAATGGTTCAGTTATTTAAATACTTTACATTCTACTTTTCAATTTTTACTCATTTCATAGTATATGTCAGATTAGATTTTCATGAAAATAACCACAAACATATTTGTTTTTTTCCCATTTGATAATTATCAATTTGTGACTCATTTTGTACATCATTATGTGCTGACTGAAAAATCTCTCTCAATATTAAAAAAAAAAAAGAATTATCAACCACAAAGCAATATTTCCTGACTTTGGATATCTTGCAGCTTCTGAAATTGATTATTAATTAAAATTCTCATACCATAACTATATATGTATGCTGGTTACATTTACAGTTTTAAGTCTTAGATACATTTAGAATTGGCAAGAACATAATATTAAGTTATAGAAACTGGATATTCCAGAATTAATCTCTAAAAAGATAATTATGATTTTCTGTCATGGAACTAACTCTGTTTGATGTCATCACTTCTATGCTGACTTTTTAAAAATATTTTAGAATTGTTTAAATTTTTATTCAGTTACTCCTCACAGGACTGGGTTTCTAACTCATTTGCATAAAAAAAAACAAAAAAAAACTGTAGACATTGCAAGAAAATGTAAATATTGAAATAGGTATATCTGTGTTTAATATCACTTAATGTATTTAATGGCATATAGGTCTCTATCTGCAATGGATAAATTGTCATCTAAATTGCACAAAAATAAAAATAACACTGACATCTCATTTTAACAGATATATTTACTAGAATTACACAAAAATATCTTGAGATACTAAAGAGCAAATTTATTTGTTAAAATCGTCATTAGCTTCAACCACTGCCTCCAGTGACTTTGGAATCTCCTGCAATCTTTCTGGATGGTCTCCTTGCTTAAGTTGGTGAATGCTGCATGGTCCTTGTCTTCAGTTCATCTTTGGTGTTACAAGGAGATTTGTTGGTTCCTGGCTCAACTTTGCCCCACACATAATAATCATGGGTGTTGCAGTTGGGGAGTTAGGTGGCCAGATGTAAGGGGTGATGTGGTCGCAGAAATTGTCTGACATTCATGACTAGATTCTCCTGCTTGTGTGGCATAGTGCAGGATCCTGTTGCCAGATATAGAGTCTTCCAACAACCACTCTCTTGACTCAGGGCAGCACTACCCCTCAGGACACTTGATGTAGGGCTCTGTGTTGAGTCTGAGGCCCTCATTAATAAATTCAAAAGTTCCTTTCTTGTCAAAATGATCAGAGTGAGTTTTCCAAGCTGCTGTACCTTCATAATCACCATTAGACTCAGCCAACTCTTTCCAAATCCTCTCCACTGTCCTCGGATTGACACCCAAACATTCTGAAACATTCATATTCGAGCTACCGGCAAGAATGCCAAGCAGTACCGCATGCCATTTACAAATTTCTCGTGGAGTGAATAGTGCTCTTCTTCTCATAGACAATGCGCAACTGACCCTAATATACTGTGCAGTCAACAAAATCAAAAACAAACAATGCATATGCACAAAATGAAAAATATGAAATGGCGACAATTTACCCATCGCACCTGTACTTCTCTACACTTCCACTAAAAATGCCTCAAAAGATATTGTTCTGATTTTATAGGAACAGTTGAGTTATCTGGTAGGTTAATGTATACACAGATGTTGTGTAGACTGCCAATACTTGTACTGAGCCAAACTCCCTCATACTGTAATATTAAATGCAAATGTTAGCTGTCTTGGACACCATCAAATGCAGTAATTTCAATCATGGTGAAAATAAGGGAAAATTTTTTTTTTTCTTTCTTTTTTTTTCTTTTGTGTCAGTATTTTTGAGATATGGTAGCTTTGTAGCTTTGAGATTCAGACAGACATCCCTATTCAATTTTCTTTTTTTAATAGAGCATATTATTTCAAATGAGCAGTTTAAAGCAGTTCATTAAATGTGTCTCATTTTAATTTCACTTGAGTTGAAAGAAAGAATTTGGATTCAGGGTAGCTCTCATCATTCATTTATAAACAAACTTGGAATGTATTTTTCTCTGTTCTGATCTATTTCTCTGCATTTGCTGAAATGTGTGAAGTCAGCTGAACTAAAACATGTTCCATTTATTTGTACATTATCCATTTTGAAATCTAGTTTCACTTCTTCCAGTTCCCCATGGAAATAAACAAATTTAAAGCGATTTTTGACTACATAACTTGTAAAAGCCATGTTAAGTTCAGTTTGTCTCTGTAAATTACAGATGATAGGATAATGTCCTGAAGGATCGCTGACTCATTGAGTTTGCTTTGCCAAATGTGAGAGGCTCTCTTTGTATGTTTTTTTATTTATTTTTGTTATTTTTTCTTCAGCCTTTCAGAAAAATATTTTATCAAAACTCCAAACTTTTTCTGCAAAAAAATGTCTTGTTATTGACTGGGAAAAAAAACTCATTATTTCCAATAAAAAGAAGCTCTTATTGTACTTAGACTATTAATGCTTATGGACAGGCTATTTAACATTTTACTTAAACTAAGTTCAAACTTTTTCCCCAAATAAAGGTGACATCACCGACTCTTTAGATATTATCTTTCTATACTTTCAAAGTATAAATACTTTAGTAATATGGTGTCCATTAATATAATCTACAATGATTGTTTTACTCTGGTTATAAAATTTCATACAAAAGAATGTCTTCAACTACATATTCACTATTTTTGTTAGTACAAAAAAGTCCTCTCCAAATTAAAATTCATTCTAACTCTACTATTACTATTGTCTGTTCGTGAAAATATATCCTTTTGTCTTGCCTGTAAGAAATGCTAATAAAAGAAGAGTTTATTTGTTAGATATTTCTCAATCCAACAGAAAATAATACAAGAAAATGCTTAAGTTGTAGGTGATATTTTAACTTGGATTTTCTTTTGGGTTAACTTTAATATCACTGTAATTGAAAAATATATTAGAAACAAATGGTAAAAAGGGAGGAAAATTAAGGAAAATGAAACTAGATTTCTTTTTTCATTTTTTTTTCCAAATTGTATTATCAGAGAAATCTTAATTATACACTTTTCTCTCTTCCAGAATGAAGAAAAACAAGACAGAATATATGAGCTAACCAATGATATACCAAAGGTATGTTAAAAATATTTTCTTCATTATTGCTTTTGTCTTGTACTGTTGAGATCATTTTTTAAGTGGTATAATTTTATATAAAATTTATATTAGTCAGGCTGATTTTGAAAGCTTTCAATATGAGTGAAAACTCTATGAAACTCTGTTAACATTTGAAAAGCATGTTATAAACAGTTTTCATGCTAAGGCCATTAATAACTAGAATGAAATCTTTATTTTATTTTTTTTTCAATTCACCAAAAGTGCTGGAATGTCATCTTCCAATCAGTAAGATTCAACCTATAATTAGTTTCACCCTCAATGACAAAAAAAATGTAATATTCTTTCATTAAGGTTATAAAAGAATTTCATCTTCCAGTCAATAACTCAGCCTATATTAGTCTCCCCCCTCCTCCTCAACAACAAAAAACTGTAATATTCTTTCATTAAGGTTTTAAAAGTTTGACTATCCCTTTTTGTGCCATCTGGTAACCCTTTTTTTTAGGTGTGTGTGTGTGTGTGTATATATATATATATATATATATATATATATATATAATTTCTAAAGAATTAGCAGATTTTATTTTTTAATTCAAAATTTATTATAGTGTCTACTTTGTATTTGGAATAGACACCCTATTTAACACTTGAATAAATAAAAATGTTCTACTTCAAATACAAAGTATCCACTATAATAAAGTTTATATATATATATATAATGCATATACATAAATAAGAATAAACAATGCATGGTGACTCAGTTTCTTGCTTCAATGCAATTTTCAAACCAGACTGGGTCTGAAGATAACATTTAAGCATGATACTGATAGTTGATTCCTGTGTCCTCACTTTCCATATCTATAAATGCTCAATTTCCAATATTGAGCACTCTTCCTTATATATAGCAAATTTTAATCATTTATGCATCCACACACAGCCTTGCCTTAAAAAAAACATCATCAATTGTAACTAAATTTTATAACTGATTCACCTTCTAATAATCCTTGATATTGTATAAGAAATTATTTGAAGAATCAAAATATATATTGAAAAGAAAGATAGAATTGTATTCATTTGCTTAACATTTTCTTGTCCTCTGCTTTTGTTTTTAGACTGACTGGATATTGACTGTCAACATTTTTTATTTTGATCGTTAGTGAAATGATTGTTGAAGATATCCAGAAGAAAGGCAGAAAAAAAAATAAATCAATGTTTTGTTAGATATTCTATTGATTTGGTGTGTATATAAAAAAAAAAAAAAGTATTCATAACCGTAGACAGATTGTAAATGCAATATTTCTGCCCCCCCCTAAAGAACCACATAAAAATCTGTTTACCCAAAGTAACGCACTATTATTGACTATTGTAAAATGTCAACAATTTCACAAATACAAAAGGGTGCTGAAAAGTTCTATGCCCAATTTGCTTATCAAAATCATTATTCTGAAGTTTGTTCATTGAAATACTGATTTTTGTAAAGTGGGTACGACCCCTCACATATCAATAAGACAATATTGTTATTTTTAATTAGCAAATTCATATAGTAATTTATCTACTTGAAGAAAAGGTTTCAATTTGTTAGTCTAAAATAAGTAATTCTTCATCTTGATATTTGCTATAACAAAACTCACCAATCTGGCACATAACATTGCTCAAATTTCTTCTGTTTTAATCATAAAACCCACAATTAAAAATAATTTAGTGTTACAGTTTTGCTAATTAATTTTAAAAGTATAAAACTGAAAATGTTTTACTATTTAAAGAATTATTTTCCCTGAGCTTCTAATAGATGAATCGTTAGAAATAGGACCTCTATACACTGCTTTAATCACTAAGCATAACATATTTCAATACTTGATTAACACAAATATTCATCAAAAGCTAAAATTATTCTTTGCCATTTTGACATAGTACTGTTACAGGATATCTGTCCTCCTGTATGGCAGCAAGTGCTGGACAATCTCCTCAAAGATGAAGAAGAGACTTGAAGCAGCAGAAATGTGATTCTACAGAAAGTTGCTGAGTATACCATGGACCGAACATGTGAGCAATGATGAGATTTTGGAGAAAATAGAAACAAAACGAAAACTTATGCTTAACATCAGGAAAAGGCAGTTGAAATTTCTGGGGTACATAATGAGGAAGGAGGGCTTGGAAAACCTGATACTCACAGGATAGATTGAGGGAGAGAAGGACAGAGGAAAGCAGCATGTAGCATACTTGATGAGCTTGAGTAAATGGATGGTAGAACAGTTTGGGAGAAATAACAAAAAGACAACACTTATTAAAAGCTACAAGGGACAAAAAAGATGTGGAGAGCCATGATCGCCAATGTCCTGAAGGGACATGACACATAAAAGAAGACTTTTTCTTGAGAAAAAAGACCAAAAATATCTAGGAGGAAGAGGAGGAGATGGTAAGTTAAACAGCTGGATGAAATGTTTTGGATGAAGGAAAAGCTAAAAATAGAAAAAGAAGGAAATGCTAAGTGGAGGGAAGAAACAATCTTGAATCTATATAAATGGGTAGTATGGTTGATGAGCTCTGTGTTATGCCAGATGTTATGATTATAATGACTTTAAAATTGCTGAAGCAAGAAAAAAGGGGGAAAAAATCAGCTGATATGGACAAAGTTTTCATACATTAAGAACGTCTTGATTACATAGTTAAAAGTATGTGTTAGGCTTTGAGGAGCTAAATTACACTGAGGATAGACACTATAAACCCACCCATTGGCTTTTTTTTTTTTTTGATACTTAAAAAGCATTATTTCTTCCTATCATCTGAAATTTTTTTTGGCTCAATGTGCAAATGTCAATCTGGAAGATGATTAACCCATTTACTGCCAGACAACACACATAACCATTCTGTTGGCTTTGCTGTTTGATTCTAGCACATATATATGCATCCTTTCTACAATATTATTTAATGAAATGTAAATTCAAGGGACAACACACCTATACTCAGTTTCTGCCTTGCGGCACTGAGCAGAAGACATGCTTATTTTGTTGTGCTGCATCTCCAAAGTAACAGCAAGCATGTTAACTTTGATGAATCGAAATTAGAAAGTGTTGTCAATTTCCTTCTTCATTTAGTGACATTTCATTTTGATAATGTTTTCCTTTTCCCTTTCCCTCATGGAGACTTCTTTTAATATAATTTATATAAAATCAGTGATAACATCAGACATGCACAACTTTGTGTACTCCAGTTGTCATCTAACATTTTTCTTTAGTAAATTTTTGTAAAATGTTGTTTCTTATATTTAAGCTTTTGCTCATTTATTTTCCCCAAATCAGCTGTCGTAGACACCAAGAACAAATATTTTAATTCTTTGCATTACAAAACTGGTGTTAACATGAGATATACAATACATAAGTAACAATTACTGAAATGTCAGATTACAAGCCTTTCATGCCAGTATTCTTAAGCATGCTGGTGTCTTTGCATTAAATTCTAAGCAAAGTTTAACATTTGTACAAAAAAAAAAAGGTGTGTCAAAAGGACAGTTTTTCTCTTGATGCCACTATTACCGTATATTATCGTGGTGGTTGTAAAAAGCTATTTTTAGAATTTTAATAAAACCCAAACATTAAAATAATAAAAATTGCAGAAAGAGTATACAGTCATGGTGATGTCAAGAGGAAAAATCAACCTTTTTGATAGTTATTTTTTATGTATGTTGCAATTCTATTTGTTCCTGTAACAACTGTAAAGTGATGCTAAAAATTTCTTGGTCTGACCCAATTTTTAAACTCTGACCAAGCATAGAGACAAAAACTTACTACCTTTTTATAATTTTGCATTGCAGTTGATTGCTTTATGATCCAAATATTTATTCAATTTTATTATCGAACAGTCTGGTCATTATCACAATGAAAAATCTATCAAAGTGTATACAATTTCAGACTGTGTTAAGTAACCTATGATCTAGTGAATAAGTTATTGAGTGTTTTATAAATCTTATGGTTGACTAATTTTTGTTCAATGAACTTGTACTTGTCATCTCAGGAAGAACGCAAATGTTACATTGTCACTGCATGCTCCGACGCATTTGACTTTCATTTGTTTTTTAGGTGTGCCAGTGAGAGTAGAATTTGTAGTTTGTTACACTTGACCATTACTCTAACCATCAAGTTATGTCATGTTCAACTGATATGGAATAGAAAGACAACATTTTTATTTAAATCACTTTTATGTGCTGCATTCTTTCAGGACATGGCCAATCATGGCTCTAACTCTTGTGGCTTTTAGCAGTTTTTCTCCCTTTGCTAAGGCTCCTGATTCACCCTCCACCACCACCACCACCACCACATTCTACCATTTTGACATACGCTTATTAGGTAGGTGGCTCACCGCCTTCCATCTCTTTGCCCTCAATATGACCTGTGAGGGTTAAGTTTTTTCAAGTCCTCCTTCCTCATTGAGTCCAAGGAATTTCAGAATTTAAAATTAATCTTGTAAATAAGCAATTAAATAATTTTTTTTTAAAACAAACATTGCTGTAATAGCAGTGTCAAGAGAAAAGCTGTCCTTTTTTTTTTTTTTTTTTTTTTGACACACATTTTGTTTGTGTGTACAAAGGTTAAACTTTGTTGAAACGTTGATAAGTAACTTGTTTCTTTCATTAAACTAATTAAGAAATCCTGTTTTTGTTTTCATCCATAAACAAATTAGAGAAAAATTCTTAAACCTTAAATTATGTCCATAAATTAAATGGTATTTTCATAATAGAACAATATTGAAAATAATGTTCTTTAACTAAGAGAAATCAAACCAACTTAGATTTTCCACCTTTTTTTATAGCCAAAGACTTCAATTAGGTGATGGAACAACATCACTTTGCTTAAATTCCTTCACTTGAAAAGACAAAATCAGGTCACTGAGGTTGAGTGCTACATAAATCTTGCCCTTGATGAACTGATTGATAATCAATACATCTTAAGTAGAGGCCCTTGTCAGAAGGAATCTTGTAGCAAAATCTTAAGAATTTCAGGAGACCAGATTTAGGTGTGTGGTGA